TCAGATCTACAGCTTTAACCCATTTTCTTGCTTGAGGACAGCAGCTGGTATAAATTCAAAGTAGTATCACCAGCCCTGCCAGTGTCTGAATTATTTAAAAAGTGGTGGGCCTGGTACCAGAGGCTAAAATCTTTCTTACAGAGCAATGTGCTGGAAAGCAGTATAGAATGTCATCATTATTTTGGCATCTCAGCAGCCCAGCTACCATAAATAGACTGTGGAGACATCATAGCCAATCAGTCCTCACCCGACGTCCACACTCATGCAATTTTCCTGCAAGGAGTCATACGCAGAAACATTAGCTAATTTATCCTCTCTTTAGCCCAACTGTGCTGAGGCCAATTATAGAACCCTTTCTGCCACCCTGGGTCAGACCAACTAAAATTCCGACTAGGAAGTATTTGGACTCACACAAGAATAAAAGGGCAGAATATCCTTTCCCTTTTATCTGCACTATCACTGCTTCACCTCGTTTCTGAGACAAAAATAGGCATGGTTCTGGATTTGACACTAAACCTGGCTGACCGCCACTGACCTGAACCTCACTTAATACCATTTGTCCTAAATTTTCCAGAGAGCAGCTCCCAGTGATGGGACAAAATTTGAACAATTTTTTTTGAAAAATAAATGAAACCTCATAAGGTGATTAGAGAACTTTCAAACTTATATTTTTGTATTCTTGCTACAGATCCTCAGAATAATATAATAGTAATATAAAGATTGTGGTGCTTGGAACAAATAGTCAAATACATTCTAGGTGTGCGCGACTCTTGGTGGAACTTGTTGGCATCAAATATAGCACAAAATGAACACTTCTATGTGGGAAAATACTTAAAAAGAATGTGCAGCACGGAAACAGGCCACTTGTCCCAACCAGTCCAGTGTTTATACTCCACATGAGTCTTCACCCATTCCTTACTCCCATACAACAATTTGCATTTACATAGCGCCCCTCACCCAGAGCGCTATTCTATTCCCCTCGCCCTCATGTGAAGTTTCAAGCTTCTTCTTGAATGCATCTACACCATCCGATTCAACCAATGTTTCAGGCAGCGAGTTCATTAATCTTACTATCCTCTGTGTGAAGTAATTCCTCATAAGTTATCTTTTAGATCGCCCTAGTTGCTATCATATATGTGTCCCTGGTTACAGACTCACCAACCAGTGGAAACATCCTATTTTCTGTTAATGTTATCAAATCCTTTTATAATTTTAAACACTGCTATTAGACGTTACTTCTCCAGTGAAAAAAGGCCTAACCCATCCAGTCTATCCTAATAGCAGTAACCTGCCAGCTATGCTATCACCCTTGCAAACCTATGTTGTACTCTTTCCATTCACTCTATTACATACATGTGTTCATTACACTAGCTGCAAGACATGAAGTATTATCTGTTTGTGAATATATCAATATAATTTCCACATCACTTTTAAAATGTTTATTCCATTTAAAGGAATGGCATGATTTGATATTGCTAGAGGTAGAATCACTAATATTGCAATTCTATAACCAATTTCAAGCAAAGTAGTGTTCTTGCTAAACTGCCCTGATATAATTTTGCATACAGGTAGGTTGATCAGGTTACAAGTTTGCTTGCACCCAACTGCAGACAGATCATCACATCATCATATCCACCACCCCTAAGTGACCCAGGTATCCACCTAGCTCTGCTGATAACACTCTCACCTCTGAGTCAGATAGTTGGTGATCCAGAATCAGAATAGAGCAAAGGAGAAAAAAAAGGGGGGAATAGATACATATCCTTTAGTATTTCCCTCATGTTTAAACGCAACAAAAACTGGCGACTCAGCCTCTGAAATCAGGGCGTCAAAATTGAGATATTCTTAAACACAGCAGGTTCCTCATTTGCTTTAACATCTCAACCGAAGGCAGCACCTCCAACAATCCAGTACTTCCTCAGCACTACATTGGAATGTAGTGGTAATCATTCTTGCATTTGGTTAAGCACCTTATCATGTAGGAATGGTGTCTCAAAGAACTTCACAGGATTTACTGTGAAATGGAGTGACTCTGTATTTGTAGGCAAACATTGTAGCACAATAGCGCACAGCAATATCCTACAAATAGCCATGAAATGAATAAGCAAATTTATTTGGTTATTGTTGGCCAGGTCACCGGGAGAAACTCCTTTCTCGAATAGTCCCAAAGAAACTTTAACACCCACCTGAACAGGCAGACGGGACCTCAATTATCTCCAATAATGAAACACACCCCTAGCAATGGAATCTATGTGAGTTCAAGTCTTGATGTGGAACTTCTGACTCAAGAGGCAAGAGTGCTGCTTAAGACACTGTTGTCTTATGAGCTCAAAATTCCAACGTGAAGCTTGAATCTCCAACCTTCTGACTCAGAGGTGAGAGTGCTATAAAAATGAGCCAGGCTGATAGTTGAATAGTGTATAAACAAGTATAAACTCTGACTAATCTGGTGTCAATACAATGATGATGGCAATAATTATTTCTTCACAACTGTCAAGTCAAAATAGACAATGTATGCACCTTCCCTACCATCTCCCCACCCCCCACTCATCCGTCTTTTACTAACATAATAACCCTGTAGCTCAGTGGTTAGAGTACTCGCCTCGCAAGCAAGAGACCTGGGTTTGATTCCTGGCAGGCGAAACCTTGGGCAAGTTTCCTTACTCCACACGCCTGATAATCCCTCAAGAAAAAAATAAAATTGGTTACTTCAATCCACCACTGTTTATGGGACACTGCTGTGAGCAATTGGCTGCTGCGTTTTGCCCACAAGTATAGTGAATTCATTTTACAGTATATTCTGTGAAGCACTTTGAGACATCTAGAAGATGTGAAAAATGCTATATCAAATGCAAGGATTATTATTATTATCTTTACATTGTTTATGCTTTCCAGAATTAGGTAAGCAGGATGCCTCTCTCCAGGGAAAGAGCGTGCAATCCATCCCAACAAACAATCCCCAGAATTTCCATGTGTAGGTGGGATGCATGGAATTCTCAGTTTGGTTAATCTTAAGCATGCTGATTGGTTTTCACATGTGTCAAGATACCGAACTGAACAAAAATAGTCAGTTTATTGAATAATTTTCACTGTCAAATTGGGTATTCAATTAACAGAATTTCATGACATCTTTAGTACACCAGAAATTAGCGCAAATGAACATAGCCATCTTTTTCACGAGCATTACGTAAAACGGGTCAAATAGTGCCCTTATAAGTCAGCATTATCAATGCAAACCTCTCATAAAGACCATTTATATCAGCTGACAGATATTTCTGAAGGCCAGCAAATAAATTATCTTCAAGCTGTGCAACATTGTTTTATGATTCAGAACTATCAAATCACTGCAGGTATGCAAACTCAAACTGATTATAAAATAATGCAGCTTTCTGGTCGTCATCTTTTTCTATTAAGTCAAAATAAATCAAAATATTATCTTGTATTTAACAAAAAAATCAGAAATGGCTTCAAATTTTCAATTAAATTAGATATGAATATAAATGTTATCCAATTGAAGAATTCATTAAGTGAATACAAAGGAATTTGTTCTGTACCATAGCTTCAACATTTTGCACCTGTATTTGTCCCTTTCACATAGAATGTCTCAAAACAATTGACAGTTACAATAGGGAGCACTGAGCAGAGACATATTCCTTTGAGGATGTTGACTAAAGTCATTGTTGAGAGATATGTATTCAATAAGAGTTTTCAAGTCAGGAAGCAGGGGAAAGAAATTTTAAGAGAGCGTTCCAGAGAGCAGAGGCATGGTGACATCAAGCTTGGCCACCAATCTAACCAGACTTCTGTCTAACAGTAATGGGACAGAAGGAGTGGTGAACGAGTCATAGACCAGAATTGGAAGACCAGAGGGTGGGAGGGAAAGAGAATATTTCTGGAGAGATTGCATAGTTAGCGAGAGCGAGATCATGGATGGATTTTAAAGTCAGAGCAAGGAGGTTAAACACCTCAAACCTGGGATAAGCACATCTAATTTTTCGTAGAGGTAATGTTGCACTCACTCTTCCTTACGATTAAAATAATGGAAAATACGACGAGAAAGCTCTTACAATATTAGCATTAAGTTAGATGAATGCCTGCTTGGCACTTTCAGGCTAATTAGTCACAAGTGCTGTCTCCTGAAACGCACGATGGCCCACTTAGCCTTCCCAAGGGAATGTTCTTGTAAGTGTAAACTGTCACAAGGAAACACATCATAGCATTCATGCCTCAGACTCAAAAAGCTGTCACGTCAATGTACAGTGGGGACCATCTCTCACACAACCCCACCCTGATGCTCGAACCTCCTTCCTTCCTACATCTCATCTGACCAAATGTATTCTCAGTGTTTGGGTCTCCTGTGCAGTTAACTGTAAAACAAAAGACATAAAACTGCATTTTTGGGGAGAAAAAAANGGCCGATCACAGATGCGGAACAGAAACTTTGCATTTTTCTCTTCAAGGTTCTCCAGCATCAGCCGACTGCAGACCAGGCCCTGCAGATCCTCAGGAAAAGCTACCTGGTTCCAACCATCCCCATTGTGCTACTGAAGAGGACAACAATATCATCAGAATCAATGCAATAACTTAAACCTGGCTGCAATTGCCCATCACATCATTTTTTTTTGCATTGCCCACTTATTTGTTTTTCTTCTTTCCCCCCCCCCCAAAAAAAAAAGTCACAGAATCATAGCACGTTTTCTATTTATTAACCCCAAAAAAAACTGCAGAGCACAGCCAGTTCCCATTCATTGGGAAGATTCCATCGGAGGGCAATTTCATTTTGAATTTTTTTTAAAAAAAATGCGGTGGGGGGTGCGGAGTGGGGGGGTGGGGGGGGGGGGGGAGAGCCCTAAATAAAACACGCGCACACAACCACACAACATCCATCGCACACAAAACCGCCTTAACAACCACATCCAAACCTCCCTTTTTAGGCAACATTGCAAACACTCACCCAACGCACCCACCCACAAAGATGAGGAGAAAGAGAAGAGCCAAACCTGTAACGAAAAGCGTCCCCGAGTAAACGCAAAGGGACCGATGCGGGTGGGGGAGTACCTGCAGGTGTTGCTGTATTTAGTGGGGGGGGGGGGGGGGGGGGCGAGTGTTGCAGTGGCGGCTGTTACAGTATCTTTAAATCAAAGCCTCTGGTCCCTCTCCCCCCTGTCTCGCTGCTGCAGGTCGCCGGCTGCTTGTTTGCTGTGCGCGAGCCTGGTCTGCCCCGGTCCGGGTCTGCTCTGCCTGTCCGTCCGGATGATTGACAGCCGTGACGACACGGCGGCTCCCGGGCCCGGGAGGAGACCCACGCGCAGACACAAGACACAGAGCGGGGGGAGGAGGGAGGGAGGGAGGAGGCGAGGCGCGCGCGGGGGCGGGGGGCGGGGCGGGGCGGGGCGGGGGCGCGCTTCCGGCTTCGCTCCAAATAAGGTCAAGAAGCGCCCGCGTCACAATCTGGACCCTCGCGCTCCACCGGCCCGCGGGCGCGCGCGCGCGCACACACACACACACACACAACAGGTCCTCATCAGAGAGGGAGTCCTGGCAACAGAGAGAGAGGGAGAGAGGGAGGGAGAGAGGGAGGAGGAGGAGGATTTGCTGCCCAAAGATGCTGCTGCACAGAGATGCTCTCACTGCTGGAGGGGGAGGAGGTCCCCTCCGGGAGACTTGTTATTCTCCGGCGGCGACGTGCGTGGGTTTCGTTTCTAAATAAAGAATATAAATATATATCTATATATATATATACACACACACACACACATGTATATCACAATAACAACAACAAGATTACATTTGCACACGGAGGACTTTCTCACGTCGGGAGGAACGTCCCAAGGCGCCGGGCGATCGGCGTTTTTCGGACCCGAGCGTGTGGGGGGTCCGGGAGGGTGGAGGGTTTGGGGGGGGGGGGGGGGAAGGAGGGAGGTCGGAACCACAGTCGAAGAGCAGGGTTCTTGAGACGGGTCTTGAAGGTGGCGAGGGAGGGGAGGGAGCGAGGCGGAGGGACTGCGGGATGGAGTTCTAGAGGGTGGGGGCAGAGTGGCTGAGGGCCCACCCGACAATAGTGGGGCGAGTGAGGTGGGGAACGTGAAGCAGACAGGAGCCCACTGAGCGGAGGGAGCGAACAGGATGGTAGGGGGTTAGGAGGTCGGAGAGGTAGAGGGGAGCAAGACCGTGGAGGGCTTTGAAGGTGAGGACCAGGATCTTGAACTGTATCCTCTGTGTGATGGGAAGCCAATGGAGTCGGGTGAGGATGGGGGTGATGGGGTCACGGAGCCTGGTGTGGGAGAGGACACGGGCTGCAGAGTTCTGGATGATCTGCAGTCTGGATGGAGGAGTTGGGGAGGCCGACAAGCAGTGAGTTTGTATAGTCGAGCCTCGATGTAAATGAAGGCATGTATGAGGGTTTCGGCGGCCTGTGGTGTGAGACAGTGGTGGAGGCGGGCGACGTTGCGGAGGTGGGGGAAGGCAGAGTGGGTCATGGCGCAGATGTGGGGTAGAAAGGATAGTTGAGGGTCAAACAAGACCCCAAGGTTCTGGACTGGCTTAGTAAGGTGGGGTGTGCAACCATGGATGGTGATACTGTCAGCGCCTGAGGTGAGGAGGCGCTGATGGGAACCAATCATGAGAGCCTCAGTCTTGTTAACGTTCAACTGAGGAAAGTTAGCTCTCATCCAGGACTTTGCTACGTCCACTCCCACCACTCCCTTCACGGACCCCTCCAATCGGGTTTTCTGCCGGCCACAGCACAGAAACAGTTTTGGTCAAAGTGACAAATGACATTTTGTCCATCTGCGAACAGGGCTCCCTCTGCCTCCTCATCCTCCTTGACCACTCTGCTGTCTTCGATACCGTTGACCACTCAATCCTCCACCCCCTCTCCTCTCATCTCTGATGTATGTCAGGACAGCAGTGGTCCTAGAGTCAAGGGTGGAGGCAGAGAGATAGAGTTGGGTGTCATCCGCATACATGTGGAATTTGATCCCATGTCTGTAATAATAATCCTCGCATTTGATATAGTGCTTTTCATGTCGGGAGGACGTCCCAAAGCGCTTCACAGAACACACTGTAAGTGAATTGACTGTATATTTGTGAGCGAACGCGGCAGCCAATTGCGTACAGCAATGTCCCGCAAACATTGCCCCACAAACAGTCGTAGATTGAAAATGACCAATTTTTATTATTGTTTTTGGTTTTGGAGATGATATCACCAAGAGGGAACATATAGATATTGAAGAGAAGGGGAACAACGACAGACCCTGAGGAACGCCGCACGAGACGGTGCAGGGGCTAGAGGAGAAGCCATTTGCGGAGATGAAGTGGAGGTGGTGTGAGAGGTAGGATCTGAACCAATCAAGGACAGAGCCATGAAGGTTAAGATGAGAGGAGAGGCAGTGGAGGAGGATTGAGTGGTCAATGGTATCGAAGACAGCAGAGTGGTCAAGGAGGACGAGGAGGCAGAGGGAGTTCTGTTCGCAGATGGACAAAATGTCATTTGTAACTTTGACCAAAGCTATTTCTGTGCTGTGGGCTGCAGAAAACCCGATTGGAGGGGTTCTTGAAGGGAGTGGCGGGAGAGGACGTAGCAAAGCTGGGAAACAACGACTCGTTCCAGGACCTGTCAGTGTTGAATTTCCACACTGCCCTTTTTACACACATTCAAGTTTCAGAGGTCAGCATATGGAAGATCTAGCAAAATCCACTACCAAGGTGTTCAAGCAGTCTGGGACACTACCCTGCATGATGGGTTCTATGCAAATGCAAGTTGCTACTTAAAGCTGTGCATCACTACAGAGCAGTTTGATCGCTTGTTCGTTAAAACCCAGTTCGACTCAGGTCGAACTTGTGTGAGTCATGCCTGTGTTATGAGGGCAATTTGGCTCCTAGCAAATAGAATATCTTAATTTGCCCCAGGAGTCAAGATCGCTATATCTGCCCGGTCAGTGACATATTACACATAGATTGTACAATTTCTAAAAAATATATTTATAGTTTGAAGTTTACAACGATGACAACTTGCATTTATATAGCACCCTTCAAGCAGGTAGCAACTCGGAGTGCTTAACAGTGGCAGAGTTTATAGTGATGATAGAAAATGTTGTGAAAAGATAATCTGTAATATATTCAATTGATGATTGGTTCATTACATCTAAATATATTTTATGATAGAATACTGCAATTCCTTATACATTTCACTGTAGCAAATGCTACCAATATAATTTTCCAGTCTCAAATTGTTGTAATACCTTTGAGATTTAAGTAATGCACCTATGAGGTAATAATAATTCTTGCATTTGACATAAGATCTTATCACATTGTTGAAACACCTTAAAGCGGTTCACAGATTTACTGTAGAGTGTGTATTTTGATGGCTTTTGACTGGTGCTAATCTATGCCACGAGTCCAGTGCTATGAAAGTGGAGGAAGGGACTGTACGCATAAATATTACTGGTTTTAATTAAATTTTAATAATTAGGGTGTAAAAGAAACAACAATTTAAACAATGATCTAAAAATGCTGAATCAAAAATACAGTGAACCTCAAGAAGGTAAGTGAGTTTTCTTGCCTTTAGCTGCTAAAGGATATTAAATAATGGAAATCTATCAGTCGTAACCAAATCTACAGTAAGCTGCAACAACAAAAAAGCAGCACTTTTGAAAGATTCGTGACTGAGACAATAAAGTTTGGAATTATGATGTGGAGAAAGAATCTGAAACCAGTGTTTGTAAGCTTATTAGAGTCAATTAAGGGGAGCCTGTTATTACTTTGGACCTAGGATTCTTGAAGTCACTCAAAGACTATTTTGAATATCAAATGAAAATATTAATATTATAAGTTACAATAGACCATGCCAGGATTAATGTTACATTAAATTTTATAATAATATTTAACAGGCTATCTAATTTGAATATCTTGGTCCTTGATATCTAATTTTAATATTAGCCATCCATTGGAACTTGGATACATAACTACTATATCTAGTCGTACTTGAACTATTTTCGAACTTGATCAATAGTTATTAACATGGATGAAGAATTGGAAATAATCTAAATTTAATTTAATTCCTCATTTACCATACCACAGAACCATAAACATTTACAGTGCAGAAGAAGGCCAATTGATCCATCATGTTTGTGTTGGCAATCCTTTTAGCTCCATTTACCTGCCCTTTCCCCATACCTCTGTTCTTTACAATTGAATGGAAGTGCAAAGAAAATATATGCTTGAGCCTGACATATCCAATGACCACTGCTTTTCAGAATACACCAGTGCAAATATTAAGGCCACTGAACCTTAGTTATGTGGCAAATCAACCCCATTGAACCTTAATTACAGGAGGCAACTTGTGTTTGTTTGCTCTTCTTGGTTTTCATTAGGGGGTTTCGTCACATATAGATGACTTCACTGGCTCCCCATCCTCCATAGAATCATGTTCAAGATCCTTGTCCTCAACTTAAAGCCCGCCACAATCTTGCTCCCCCCAAACTGCACACCTATTAAAACTTCACCAAACTGTCCACTCCCTCTGCTCTGCAGGCATTGGTTTGCTCCACCCCTCTCTGATTCCAACCCACAGCTCATGTACAAACTCCTCATCGTCCAGTGCCTTGGGAAGTCCTCTGAACATGAAAGATGCTATATGAATGAAATTTGTTGTTTATAGTAATACAGCAAGGAGTATGAGACAAGACCAAGTCATCATGGTATCAGAAGGATGGAATTTGCCTGACTTAACATCACAAATTTGATCAGTTTATCTAACCTACCCATACAATTTCCCAAAAGATTACTTTACGAGTTAGAGTAAAAGAAAGCATAAACTACCTCTATGATCCATGATTAAAATGTCATGTGTTGAAAGCAGTATATGTACCAATTTTAAACATTCAAGAAGACTTTCTATATGCTGGTTAAACATCTCCGAGAAGAGATGAACAACAACACTCAAGGTTAACTCAAATAGAATCCTAAAGACCCTTTTATAATCCTTATAATATTTTGTACAAAATAATTTTAAATATTTACATTTAAAAAGGTTACAGATAAAATTATTAGTGA